GGGAGGGGGGGCTGGGGGGCTGTGTCTCATGGGGGCTGCCCCTCGTGGTGAGCACAGTCCCGAAGGAGACATAGTAGAGCAGTGGTCGCCAACCAGAGGTGGTCTCTGAGGCCCGAGAGGTTGGGACCTGGTCCGTGGGGTCTGAGAGGTTGGGACCTGGTCTCTGAGGCCCGAGAGGTTGGGACCTGGTCTCTGAGGCCCGAGAGGTTGGGACCTGGTCCGTGGGGTCTGAGAGGTTGGGACCTGGTCTCTGAGGCCCGAGAGTGGGGGACCTGGTCTCTGAGGCCCGAGAGGTTGGGACCTGGTCCGTGGGGTCTGAGAGGTTGGGACCTGGTCCGTGCGGTCTGAGAGGTTGGGACCTGGTCTCTGAGGCCCGAGAGGTTGGGACCTGGTCCGTGAGGCCCAAGAGGTTGGGACCTGGTCCGTGGGGTCTGAGAGGTTGGGACCTGGTCTGTGAGGCCGGAGAGGTTGGCAACGGCTACAGTAGAGCAGGTGGGCTTGACCCTGCGGAGCTGGAGCAACAGAGGCAGTTCCTCCCCAACAGGCTTTTGTAAAGTTGAAATGAGATCATAGCCTCTAAGTTCTTTTATAAAAAAATATATATTTATTGATTTCAGAGAGGAAGGGAGAGGGAGAGAGAGATAGAAAGATCAATGATGAGAGAGAATCATTGATTGGCTGCCTCCTGCATGTCCCCCATTGGGGATCGAGCCTGCAACCTGGGCATGTGCCCTGGACCAGAATCGAACCCGGGACCTTCAGCCCACAGGCCGACACTCTATCCACTGAGCCACACCAGCCAGGGTGTAGCCTCTGAATTCTTGACAAGGAGCCTGGCTCTCAGCAAGTGATTAGCTTTTCTCGGTGTGAGTGTGAGCGTGAGCGTGAGCGCGAGCGCGAGTCTGAGTGCGAGTGCGAGTCTGAGTGTGAGTGCGAGTGCGAGTGTGTGAGTGTGAGTCTGAGTATGAGTGCGAGTGTGAGTGTGAGTGCGAGTGTGTGAGTGCGAGTCTGAGTGTGAGTGTGAGTGCGAGTCTGAGTGTGAATGCGAGTCTGAGTGTGAGTGCGAGTGCGAGTGCGAGTGCTCACAGGAGTGTTTGCATGAGTGTTTCATCTGAAATATTTATATGAATGTGAGTATTGGCATACGCAGTCACTAGAGCACACAGCTGCCACTAATATAAAATACCGAATGTCGACCGTGATTGACAAGTTAAAAAAAAAAAGCTGCTTAGCCTGAGGGCAGTAGGATTGGTCTCCATTCCAGCTCTATGGTAGGGAGACTCCGGCTTCGACCCTCTCTGATGGTGGTTTGGACAGTAAGCTCTCCCCTCCCCAAAACTTAGCATCGTGGCCAACTGGCCAGGTGGTGTGTGTTAAAGTCTTTTTCACTCGCGTATATGAAGGAGTATTGTGATTAGCTGGTTAAAATTCTAATTTGAAACATTGTAAATTAACATATGCAACTTCAAAAGGTACGTTAAAATGTCCAAGTGGAAAAATACATGAAAAAAAAAGTTACCGTCAACAAAAAGCATCCGCCAGTGCATTGGGATGAGCATTCTCTGTGCGTTCGTGTCAGTGTTCCTATCTGTGTAAATACCCGCAGGCTTATCTGCTCAGGTGGCTGCACAAACGCCCATATGCACACGCACGCTGTGTGGGTTTTCAGTGAGTTCTTACGTGAGTGTCCACGTGGTGGTCACTTTCGCCAGCACCACGGGTGCTTGTGTGAGGGATCCGCGGCGTGTGGGCCACGGCCCGACCCCGAGGGAGGCTCTGGGTGGGGCCGCCTCTCCCTGGGTCTGACGCGGAACGCCTCTGGTTTGCAGTCCGAGGGCCGAGTCCTGAAGGAAGCCACCTACATCAACAAGTCGCTGTCCTTCCTGGAGCAGGCCATCATCGCCCTCGGGGACCAGAAGCGGGAGCACATCCCCTTCCGGCAGTGCAAGCTCACCCACGCCCTCAAGGACTCGCTAGGTGAGGGCCCGCTGGTGCAGGGGCGGGAGAGGGAGATAGAAACATCAGTGATGAGAGAGAATCGTGGGCCGGCTGCCTCCTGCACGCCCCCCACTGGGGGTGGAGCCCGCAACCTGGGCCTGGGCCCTGACCAGGAATCGAACCTGGGATCCTTCAGTCCCCAGGCTGACGCTCTGTCCTCTGAGCCACACCGGCCAGGGCTGGCCGATCTGCTGCTGTGATCATGGAATGGCCCCTTCCGGGTGGCATGAGCCTCGTGCAGCCTTTTCACAGAGCCACACCTAGTGCCTCTCCGTTCACCTGCAGCACGTCACGCTGTTCACTCCCAGAAGCCGGCCTAAGCTTGGCCTCTCCTGGGAACAGCTCCTCATCCCGCTCACCCCTAAACCCGCTGGCAGAGCCTTCGTCACCGCCAAGGCCCAGTGTGGCCTCGCCCAGGACGTCCTTCCTTCCCCCACAGACTCCCCGACGGGGGTGAGGGCAGTGTCTTGTCAGCCCTGTGTCCCCAGGTTTTGTGTTGGGCCTAACGACACAGTCATTGGTGTCTGGTTATTTTATATACATATATATATATATATTTTATTGATTTCAGAGAGGAAGGGAGAAGGAGAGATAGAGATAGAAACATCAATGATGAGAGAGAACCATCCATTGGCTGCCTCCTGCATGCCCCCTACTGGGGACTGAACCCACAAACCCAGGCATGCGCCCTTGACTGGAATCGAACCTGGGACCCTTCAGTCCCCGGGCTGACGCTCTATCCACTGAGCCAAACCAGCCAGAGCGATGTCTGGTGATTAACTGAGTGTGACTATGAGCAAACCCTGCCCCTGCCCCTCCCGGCCTTACGCCATCTCTCCGCTGCTGGTCCCCACCCTCGTGACCTCATCTACACCAAATTACCTCCTCAAAGCCCCTCCTCCAAACACCACCACCTGGGAGCTGAGACTCTCACATGGGATGTGGAGGGCACACACGCATTCTGTTCATAACCGGCCCCCCAGCCTCAAAGGAATCCCGGCAGCAAACCCGCACGTTCACGGGCTTGCATGTCCCGCCTCCCGCAGGGGGGAACTGCAACATGGTCCTGGTGGCGAACATCTACGGAGAAGCCGCCCAGCTGGACGAGACGGTAGGTGCGCCGCCGGTG